ATTTACCCTAAGTTTTTTGAAGAATTTCATAAAGCCCCTAAAGTTTGGGATGTTCTGCCCAAAACCCCCCTTTACTTTATAAATTAAAGAAAAAACTTTGAACTTTCAAAATTATATGTCACCTCTCTGAATTATTGGAAATTGCCATAAACTGCTCTTCTTACTCTCTGCGTACTATAATCTGGAAGCTGTCTTAGTAAAACTAAAAAGTACGTAAGGACTAAATTGTCCAAAACCTGTCTGTGCGAAGTACGTTACAACTTAAAAGCAGCATGCGAACAAGTTCAGAGGGTTTGTTTCCCCCTAATTTATAAGCTCAGGACGTTTTGGCTGAGGACGTTTTCTCCAAAGGTCAGGGATGGTGTGTGAAATTTACCTAATTTTTTTTTCTAATTTATTTGGGTTTTTTTACTACCTCTTGATTAAATTGTGATCTTCCTTGTGCAGCATCAGGGCGAAGAACCTTAATGGCGACAGGAGTGTGATCGAGATAACATTTGAATACAGGTCCGTATCCTCCCTCTCCTATTTTGCGATCGTCTGCGAAGAAATTGGTAGCCTGCTCGATCTCCTCTATTGTATATCTCCGGTATCTAATATCATGTCCCATACCGTCCATTTCTGCTTTCCTTTCTTCAGATTCTTTGAGTGCTTGCATCTCTATGTTTAATCTCTTTTGTGCCTCTAACTCTGCGATTCTCTGCTGAGCTTCGGCGTTTTCAATGGCAGCCCTGCATTTTGCTCGCTCCCGTTCTACCAGTGCTAATGCTGATTCTTCTGCATGTCGAGCTTCTTCAAGCCTTTGCTCTTCCTCTATCTTCCATCGGTGTAGCTCCAGTGCCTGTAGCCAAAAAACTGCTTAGAATACAACTGTTTGAAGACTATGGAAGCAGACCTCCTAACCTTTTGTTTAGCAGTGAGGGCTTCTTTGCAGGCAGCACTGTACATGTCCATTGTTTGCTTCAGTTCTAGTTTCAGCCTCTTCATCTCTGCCTCAACATCATCCTGCAAGGTAGAAAACCATTCGAATCATATATCAGGCTTGAATCTAGTGATATCCAAACTCAAACCCGTTAACCTATTGAGCATTCACCATGGCATGTGATGACCAGGATGTCCCGGTCCCAGAGGAGTTGCTCTGATATGAATAGTCATTCCCTATCGAGTATGCGTCTGCTGATGAACGGTGTGGAGTGTGAGATGATGATTCGAAGCTATGATTGAGAGAATCGGATACATTAGAGAGCCTTGGCGGGTACATTCGGTCGATGCTCGGTCGGTCGATGCTCGGTCGGTCAATACTCGGCCTGCCGGAGCTCATACCGGAGGAGCTGACAAATGATATATCAGCTCCGCCATCCGATGATAAGGAGAGCTCTGCAAAGGACTTGATGTTTGAACATCCCCGGGCTCCTCTGGAGAACGGTGACCTGCATAAAGGGCCGGATCCTCAGTAGTCTTTGATCCATTTTTTGAAAAAAGGGTATATGCTTTCTTACTTGATAGATTCATCACGCATGCTCCTAAAGTCCATCGCTTCCTCTGCTCCTGATGATTCAAAATGTAGAGAGAATTCAGTTAGGTTAAGTAAAAGAGTTGACAAGCGGGTCGTGTTGGGTCGGATTTCAAACCTCTGGAATGTCCTAATGAGCGATCCTTGGTTATATCAGCAGGTTTGAGGCTGGCTTGGCTTTGGATTTGGGCACGAAGAGGTGAGATTGTGGGCGCTGCACGTACTGCATTCCTCACTGACTGCACTTTCCCTTTGGAGATAACCCAAACTGTGCAGAAATCTGGAGCTCCTTTGGATATGTTGGAAGGTATATCTGAAGTCTTGAATCTTCTGAGCAAAAAGACCCTCAATTACTTTAACCAATTCTACTTAATTCTAGGGTTAATTGCAGACACACCCCTTGTAGTATCACTGTTTTGAACTGACTACCTCTCTAGTTTTATTTTTGCAGATAGACCCCCAACTGAACCCCGAGGGTAAATGAGTCCAAAAAAGTTCACCTAGGGGTCTATCTGTAAAAAAAATAGAGGGGTAGTAATATCAAAACAGGGATACTAATGGGTTCTGTCCACAATTAACCCTTATTTATTCTATTAGTTAAGATAATGTCCTCTGTGGTGCAATGAGAAATCATCACATTTACGGACTGTATAAAACTATCATCTTGTTGTAAGTTGAGAGATCGCCACCTAACAAATCCTCCTTTGGAGGGAGCTCCGACGACGAGCTTTTCAATTGCCGCTTGAGAAACAAACTCCACGATGGCTTTTGCTACGTCAGAGTCTTCGAGCACCACGTCCTCGCAGTGTATCTACGAAGTTTGTGAATGTTTCAAAAGCATTAACATGATAAAATTTACGTGAGTTGCAAAAATCCAGTGTATTGAGTTTATATGTTTGTAATCCAAATCCAAATTGTGGTTATTAGTAAAACTCACATCTTTCCGTGTACAGAAGCAACGGAATGGAAGGAACAATTCTTTCGTATGTGGATCCGTTGCGGCTTTATAACCAGCTCCACCATCATCGTGATGATCATGATGACCTAGATAAAAGCAAACAAGCAATTTAAATCGTCATCTGAATAATTTTTTTTTTCTTCAAGAAGCCGAAATCCTACCACTCTTGTTGTTGACATGGATTAAGGTAATAGTCTGGCCCTTGGCAACAACGTTTTCAATTGCCCATTTTAATGCGCATTGGCTTCCTTTATCTTTGTCGATGGCTATCGCCACCAACGGCGCCCCAGCTCCGCGGTCGCCTAGTTCGGCTTGCGGCCTATGATTCAACATTGAAGTTTCGCTCGAACAGTTTTCTAACTATTTCTATGCTCTCTCTCTCTCTCTCTCTCTCTCTCAAGAAATTAGCTCTTTCTCTATGATTTTCTTCTGCTTATGTGATATTTTTTCTGAAATCCTTTTCTCCCCTCTTAATTTTTAGGAAGGGGAGGAGCAAACCTCCAATATAGTTTCTCTATTTTTAACTTTTGGCATTTTTAGATGAGGCCAACCATCAGTTTCGGATGGTCTAATGTTTGACCTTTTGAAGTTTTATTACAGGTAATTGCTAAATTTATACCTTCCATCTTTCCTCGTTTTCTTGCAACATAATTTTTTTTTGGTGCCCTCTTATTTTGATACTTTTTTTAAGTTATTAAGTAACAATTGTATATATTTAAGGGCATAATTGTTTGTTTTGTCGTAATTGTAGATTATTAATTGTTATATTTATAGTTGGAAAAACATGATACTCTTTAGGGGAAAATGTGTCAATGCCCCCAAAAAATAAAATGGTTGTGACTAG